GGCCTCAAAGGCCGGCATGGTAATCGGCCTCTTTGACCCGGCAGGCAATGGGCCTCCAGGCCACCTTCCGCACGTTGGCGGGCATTTTCTTGCCCCCCCCCCCGTATCTTCGAAACTACTGGACGGATCCGTAAAATTCAAATGGCGCTCGATAGCCCTGTCAAATTTGTTGAAGGAAATACAATTTCATTAACCTCGGGGTCACCGATGACGTGTTAGGTCATGTCAAAGATAAAATATTTCAACGTACACGGGTATTTTAGGGAATGCGCTATAACATCGAGTAAAACGCATTTTGTCGAAAATCAGTGATAGGGCGTCAGTTGCCTAGTACCTACATATGTTGCTATTAGAGGTCACTGATAATACCAGGTCAGGTCAGGTCAACAAGGATCAGCACATGAACCCAACTTTAGTAGGGTTGGGCAATGTATGTTTTATGGCCAATTTTTAAGTTCCAACTCAATGGAGTTGGTTAAGATTATCAGGTACGGCTAAGGTCACTTTCTGGTGGAGGTCAGGCAGAAAAGGTCAAATTTCAAAGTTGATAGTTTTGCATAAAGTGGGTATTGATTCGATACAGCTCGTCACAGCGAGTCTAATGGTGGTCTTTGTTTTGCGCCACGTGGTCTAGATTTCCTAAAAACTGAGTTTGAAAATTTGACGTAATTAATTTTTAACTGTTTTTTTTTGCTATAACTTTGAACTTTCCCAAAAAATAGGTATCGATCTCAAATTTGGTATATGAATAGAAACCGATAGAAGCTATTATATATATTCCGGGTTCCAAAATCGAAAAACTTTTGGGATTTTTCGGCTATTATATCCAACAAAAATATTGTTTGATGTTTTGGGGTCAAATTCGAATATTTCCAAAATTTCGAGGCAGCAGTTATGTAGCGCGGTAAGTCTGCACATTTTATGTCTTGAACACTTTTCTGTGTCATCAAAGCCATAAAACTGACAGCTCTTCCCGCGATTCCTTTTTTGGGTCGAAAATGGCAGAAATGACGTCACTCCGACGTCATTATTAGAAGCCAACCTATCATAGCCTTTGGAAAAAATTGGTCACAATGTGTAAAAGCTATTCCCGCGAGGGTACTGAAAGTTTATTGACGATCGGCGCAGCGATTCTAGATATATCGAAAAAAAAACTAAACGTGTGTGTGTGGGGGGGGGGGATGCCCCCCCACCACCTGGAAGGCTAAGCTAGCATCGGGCCCCCCGAGGGTCGGCAGGAGCCCCTTTGCCAAATTGCTCCCCCCAAACCCTGGATGTCGTGATCTTTGCTGATACTCATCCTCATACTCATATATTTCGGAAACATCCATAAGTACATGGGTTTTCAGTTTTCCACGTCAAGCTCAAGATTAAAGTACATAAAAAATATCCAAGTACACATCCCTCAAATTTAAAACAGTACTTAAAAACACGAAAAATAATGACACTGACGGTATTGCAGCTAGGCCATAAGATGCTAAACTCGAGTATTATGTCTTGTGATCTCTTTCCGCATTCTTTTCTTAAATGCAAGGTAACTGGGCGCGCATCTCACTTGCACAGGCAGGTCGTTCCACGCTCGAGTCGCGCGACACACAAATGATCGTCTCGCAAACTCTGTTCGCAGTCGCGGTGTTTGCAGCTGTCCGTCACTGGCTGCTCTCGTGCCGCGGCTGGAGACATCGGCACGGCGCGCGACGTGACAGCGGATCGGGTCGGGTGCACTATCGCTGTGCAGCAGGTTATACATGACGTGCAGATCGCGTTCTCGTATCATTTCATCCACTTTGAGCCAGCCCAGCTCCCTGAGTGGCGAAGTTACTCGATCGCGCCGGCTCAAGCCCATGACTATACGGACACCGAAGTTGATGCATCTCTGCACGCGTCTCTGCTCAGTGACCGTGCTGCTCCCCCACACAGACACACAGTACCTGATAAGAGGGAACACAAGTGACTCTACAAGCAGCCGCCTTGATCTCTCTAGGTCAAACGACTGGGACTTGGGATGACGCCGAGCGATTTAGGCTACGTATTGCCTGCCCAAGTGCCCCAGAATGTTTGATTTCGATGGTAATTTTTCCTATTCCTACTTCAAGAACTGTTTGCAAGAGCATTTTGAACCTAATGCGTAATTAACCCAAGGTCATTGCGTGGCGTTTAGGGGTTAAGCAATTATAAAAAGTAGCATCAAGTCATTTCGAGTCGTTTTGTGTCATTACGGAGCGAGCGAAGCGAGAGGAGTCTCATACTGAATTAAGGGAAAATCCTGAGTATGAGCGGCCGGCCGGCCGGCCGGCCGGCCGTGGGGACGCTCTTCAAAAGCTAATATCTTAGGAACGGGACATCCGATTGACAAGCGGTCTTCTTTACTGAATGTCACTTGGACGTAAAAGTTCTGTGGTGTGAAGGCCACCATGCGTTCTTGCCAACCACCGCACGTGGCGCGTGGTAAAGTTGGACATTTTTTAAGAACCCCCAAAATTGCAACCTCAATAACGGCACAACGGTTGGGCCGATTGAATTGAAACTCGGTACCGTTAGGTCTCCATCAGATAATTCATCTGCATGTGTTAAGGTTGGGGTGCTACAGCACGTGCGCACGTGCAGGGGGCGCTCCCAGATCTCGAGAACGGCTGGGCCGATTGGCGCTCAAATTTGGTACACGGTTGGGGACCAGTTAGTAGGGTGCCGTGCGAAAGTCAGTTTGGACCCCGCTTGCACGTGCGCACGTGCAGTGTGCCGCTTCCAGATCTCGAGAACGGCTAGGCCGATTGCGCTGAAATTTGGCACATCGCTAAAGACCGGTTAGTAGGGTGCAGTGCACAAGTTAGTTGGAGGTACCCCCTCGCAATTTCGCACGTGCAAGGCCCATCCTCTCGCTCGCTCCGTTGGTCGCCCAAAAGGCTTCTTATTCTTACTGGTTACGAGCGAGCGAGCGCAGCGAGCAAGCGAGTTCATACTGAATTAAGGGAAATCCTGAGTATGAGCGGCCGGCCGGCCGGCCGGCCGTGGGGACGCTCTTCAAAAGCTTATATCTTGGGAACGTGACATCCGATTGACAAGCGGTCTTCTTTACTGAATGTCACTTGGACGTAAAAGTTCTGTGGTGTGATGGCCACCATGCGTTCTTGCCAACCACCGCACGTGGCGCGTGGTAAAGTTGGACCTTTTTTAAGAACCCCAAAAATTGCAACCTCAATAACGGCACAACGGTTGGGCCGATTGAATTGAAACTCGGTACACATTTAGGTCTCCATCAGATAATTCATCTGCATGTGTTAAGATTGGGGTGCTACTGCACGTGCGCACGTGCAGGGGGCGCTCCCAGATCTCGAGAAGGCTGGGTCGATTGCGCTCAAATTTGGTACACGGTTGGGGACCAGTTAGTAGGGTGCCGTGCAAAAGTCAGTTTGGACCCCGCTTGCACGTGCGCACGTGCAGAATGCCGCTTCCAGATCTCAGGAACGGCTGGGCCGATTGCGTTCAAATTTGGCACACTTCTAGCGACCGGTTAGAAGGGTGCTTTGCACAAGCCCGTTGAAAGTATCCTCTCGCCCTTGCGCACGTGCAGGGCTCACTATCTCGCTCGCTCGTTCTTCGCCCAAAAGGCGTTTTTCTGGTTTTTAACGCTTTAGATTTACTAAGGTGGGCCAAAGTTATCTGTTAGAATTTGTGTGTCGTAGGTGTGACACTTGCTGAATTCCTTACGCCGACCGGTGAGTATTCACGCGGCATTGCCTGGCCCGCTTATTCCATACCTCATTGTTTCTGTTGTGTGTGAATTTAAAGTGGATCTGAGACGTCCGGAATCTGAGCTGAATATTGATGGTCATCGTAAGAGTATCTACAGGGTGTTTCACTAAAAGTGTCAAAAAGTAAATGCTTATTAAAGATATATAAAATACGCAAAGCACGTGGTTGCGCACGTGGCTTTGTTGCAAATTTTTGGACATTTATGCTTTGGCCACTTAAGATATATTTTACACTCATACGGAGCGAGGGCAGGAGGCCAAAGTTACTAGTCGTTTTTTTTCCTTATACAGAACAAGAACAGGTTATTTACACCGCAACAGGAGCGGTGGATTACACTTACATTTGGTGCTATCAGAAACATTGAAACCGTACGCCGAATTTTCAGGAAACGTTTCACACTCTCACCTCGCTACGACCCAGATTATAAAAGTTTCAAAGGGCTTCTTGAGAGGTTTAAAAGGGTTCCTTTGATGCCGGTTCCAGTCCAAAAAAAAAGGCGGGTCGCCCCCACCTCTCGGCGGAAATCGTTGAAAAGGTCAGGGTCTTTCTGAGGGCCTTTTAAGATAACAAGAAGCTTATTTCAACATCAGAAATAGCCAAGCCCCAATTTATCAGAAACAACCGCTGTAACGGCTGTAGCCACCAAGAACTGGCTGGACCAGAAGTTCCGTTCCCGGGCCGAATAATCAGCTGCCTCACCGCCCGCCCCTGGCCAGCGCGAGGCCCCGATCTGTCACCGCTAGCCTTCTGGTTTTGGTCAGTTGCTCTCGCAGAGCTGAGGAAGACTTAAGTCGCATCACTTTTGGAGCTGAAGAGCACAATGCAAGGCTTTGCCGACAGTCTGGACGCTGAAGATGAAAACGGGCTGTGAGGCACCTCCGGACACGTGCCGAAACGGTGCATCGAAAGAAGCGGCGGATATGTGGAATAGGTTTGAGTGACGGTGATATCATTTTTATATATTCAAATGTCCAACAATCGCGGATGGAATGATGTGCAAATGTCCATAGAAAACATTGTTATTATGTGCATTAGGGCCTTTTACTTTTTGACACTTTTAGTGAAACACCCATAGTGGATTTATCGAAAAGGTTTGATGTGTAACCACTCGAGCTTTTTATCTGCATATATTTTTAGCTATCATTTGAGTGTTGTGACCATCAACATATACTGTTTTCGGTACCTATGTGTCAACATCCGTCCTTCTCACCATTTAGTCTATAGTAGAGTAGAAACAAAACACCCTGTCTGTTTTTATGGACACTTTTATTTCGTTACAGCTGTGTATGAGACGTTTGGCTTTGAAGATGTCCACACTCTTACACGGTTACACTGAATGTGCGCGGCTGTTGTCTGACCACGTGACAACATAAGTTATTGTAACAATTGATGGCGGGGCGAATGGTGGAGGGCGTGTCTAGAACTGGAGCGGGTTGCTGGGCGCGTCGTAGTTGTATCCGCAGGTCGCCTTGACCACCTGGGTGCGGTAGACGGTGCTGACCTGGGCGCGCACCACGGTGGACGTCTGGGTGACGGTGCGCGCGTTGGTCCGGGTCTGTACGATGGTGCGGGTGGCGCCCGGCACCTGCTGGGTGAGCGTGACGTACTGGATGCGCGTCTGCGTGCTCGTCTGTCCGGGCAGCTGCTGCACGCTGGTGACGGTGGCCGTCCGGTAGTCGGTCTGGGTGACGGTGCGCTGGCGCACATCGGTGCGCACCTGGGTCTGCGAGAGCACGCGCTGCTGCACGCTGGTGGACGTCACCTGGACCTGCTGCGTCCGGTAGGCGGTGCGGATCTGCGTGTTGTAGTTGGTCTGCGTCTGCGTGACCACCTGCGGCACGTACTGGGTGCTGACCACCTCCTGGGTACGCGTCAGCACCTGGGTGCGCGAGACGGTGACGGTCTGGGCGGGCAGCCGCTGCGTCTGCGTCTGCACGATCGTCTGCGTTTGCGTGACGGTGCGCAGGACCGTCTGCGCCGGCAGCGTCTGGGTCCGCACGACCGTCTGCGTGACGTACTGGGTGCGCACCTGAGTCTGGTCGGGCAGCTGGCGCTGGACGACGCTGGTCTGGGTGGAGATCTGCGGCACCTGGCGCGTCTGCTGCACCACCTGCGTGGAGACGCGCGTCGTCACGACCTCTCGCGGCACCGTCTGCGTCAGGACGCGCGTCTGCGTCTCGGTGATGGTCCGCACGACAGGCACAGTGCGGGTGACCGTCTGCTGGATGACGCGATCCTGGCCGCGACGGCTCTGCGTCACGATGGAGGTGCGCACGACCGTGGAGACGACCTGCTGGAGCTGGGTGGTGGCCACGATCTGGGTGGACACGACCTGGCGCGTCTGTACGGTGGGCACCACCTGCGTGCGTGTCACGTAGACGGTCTGCGGCACCACCACCTGGCTGGTTCGCACCACGTCCCGGTTGACGGTGTTGGTGACGTAGGTGGTGCGGTAGACGTCGTTAACGGGCGGACACGATGTGGACGGGTTGGGGTAGCTGGGCGTCGGAGGCGGCAGGTACGGCTGGCCGGCAAACTGCGGCGCAGCCAGCGCCGACGCCACCAGACATGTCAGAGCCAGCAACGAGCGCATCCTGCAACAGAACGCCACACAACGACCGTCAGACCTCAGAAGCCAGCTGAGGTGAAACAGCAGAGTGCCATGAATCGCAAAAAGCGACGAGTCCAAGCACATAGAGGGTACAGGGCAAGACGAGCAAGCGCAGGGGTACAGGCATGAAAAAGCATGCATGCTTACCTGAAAGACTGTTGGCATTTTCGCATCATTGGCAGTCTTTCGTAATGAAGATATCGCTGCTCAATTTTTTAGCGTGTTTATTGATCATTTGATGACGAGTAAGTACATGTCAGCCTTATGTTGTCACATGGTCAGGGGCAGCTGTGGCACTTTCAGTGTAGTCGTTGGTGGACACGCGCATAACTTATTCAGCTTAACAGATGATGGAGCGACGACCGCCAGGCGGTTGGCAGACTACCGCGTTGGCCTGTGGCCGCCGCCGTGTGGACGGTGTATGGTGGGGACCCTCTAGAATCTGAGGGGGTTGCTGGGCTCCTGGTAGTTGTAGCCCTCGCACGGCTCGGTACTGGTGGTGACCCGGGTGACGACCGACGGCTGGATGACGGTGCTGGTGAGGACGCGCGTCCGGACGTTGTCGATGGTGCGGTAGTCGGTGATGATACGGTCCTGGCCGCGCACGGTCTGCGTCTGGGTCTGCGTCCGAACGGCGGTGCGCACGACGTTCTGTCCGGGCACCGTCCGCACGACGGTACGCGTCTGGGTGAGCTCCACCGGCACGGTGACCAGACGCTCCTGGGTCTGCGTCACCACCACGGGCACGGTCTGCGTCTGCGTCACCGTCACCACCCGGGTCTGCGTCACACGCTGCGTCTGCGTCGTGGTCTGCTCGCGCACGCTGGTGACCTGGACGACGCGCGTGCTGAGCTGGGGCACCTGTTGCACCCTCGTGCTCTGCACCACCTGAGTGCGCACGACGTTGCTGGACTGGGTGATGACGGGTCCGGGCACCTGCTGGATCTCGGTGCGCGTCCTGTACTGCTGCTGCGTCGTCACCCTGGTCTGCGCCGGCGGCTGGTACTGCTGCACGCTGGTGGTCTGGCGCTGCTCCGTCTGCGTGATGACGACAGTGCGTCCGGGGATCTGCTGCGTCCTCGTGACGTAGACCACTTGCGGCACCGTCTGGGTGACGGTCTGCGTGACGCGCTGCACGACGGTGGAGACGCGAATCTGTGTGCTGGTGACGACCTGGGTGCGCTCGACGACGCTCTGCCTCGTGTTGAAGGTGACCTGGCTCTGCGTCTGGGTCTGGGTCACCACGCGCGTCTGGCCGGGCACGTCGACGATGCGGGTGCTCTGGCGCTGGACGACGCTGGTCTGCACCTGGGTGCGCACCACGGGCGAGACGATGGTGGTGACGCTGGTGCGCACCAGGGTGCTGGGCACCACGCTGGTGACGACGCGCGTCTGCTCGACCCGCTGCGGCACCGTCTGCACCACGGTGCGCGTCACCGTGTTGGTGACCTGCTGCGTCTGCGTGCGGTAGATGGTCTTGGGCTGCTCGCAGGGCTTCGTGTTCGGCTCCGGGTTGCCCGGTCCCGGCGGCGGCAGGTAGCCATCGGCCAGGTCCAGGTTGCTCGGGAAGCCCGAACCGAGCTGGGCGTCGGCCGCAGCCAGCAGCAAGAGGGAAACCAGGATCCGCCACATTCTGCAACACAGAACAGGAGGGCAGGTACACGGGGATCAGTGATTGGACCTTTTGAATGGCTCTGTTTGGTACCGCGGCTGAACAACTGGCGGGCAGTGGGCAATAAAGTCCAATCACTTCTCACCGGCATGTACCTGCCTCTCTATTCCGGCTGCGAACGGAGCGGATACATGTGATATCGGTAAGCTGCAGCTGCATGAGATTGGATGGACTTTACTGCCCACTCTGGCCGGCGGGGGTTCCGAGCGGTCGAATGAGCACGGTCGGCGTATCCTCAGTCCTTTCTGCTCAGCCCTGCGCTCACCTCTTCACAGTTGAAATGCGGCACGCACCATTGTTGACTGTCTGACGCTAGCAAGCGAGACGCCGTGTAAAAACGCTGCCGGTCGCCGCATTGCGTGTGCGGTAACAATGGCGCGGGGGACGGCGCGTGGCGAGCCACTTCCCCTTCCCGCTCTAGGTATTCCTGCCCGACACTGCACCAGATGATACCGTATCGGATGGGCACGCTAAGGTGTGCGAATTAGACATAGTAAATATCAGTGATAAATATCGATCAGCCTTTGTCAGATTAAAATGTTAAGTCTTCTTGAACTCTACCTATTGTAAGAGGTACGGGTGTTGAGAAATTGAGAAGTGACTGAATTTTGACCATTAAAAGTCATGGTTAACAATCAGGGATGTGGATGTCGAAGGGAAGAATAATTCACACTTCTGGACTGAAATAATGTTAATGGCCTCCTCTATCGAAATGTCGAACGAACATTCAAGGAGTTAGAATTTTATTTCTACGGCATTTACGTTAATGAAAGCTTTGCTCTCCTGCAATTATTTTCTCTCTCCTCTTTTTGGAGTGATGTTCCACAGCAAAATGACGACTAATTTGGTAACACGATAAATCACACAAGTTAACATTAAACTTGACGCCTTCTTGCAAAAGCGATAATAGGCACAGGTACGGAATGTGTGCATAGAAATTATCAGAAAAGAACCCTTTTGGTATGCTAGGAAAGATTCAGATTTTTTTTCCGAAACACCTTGGAATGTTTCCTTTCGCGCTTATTGCATATATGTACAATAATCGTGAAATTTTAGTTTACCTTCGTTGCACGGATAAGATGTTTCGTGGAACGTCTTAGACATTACGATATGAAGGTACTGGTTGACTAAGTAACGCCTCTCAAAATTGATAGTTATAATTAATGCTATTGACTTAAATGTTTTCAAAAGTCATCACTTCGCCGAAGCTAAAAAACGGCGGTGATAGATTTTTTAAAGCTGACGGCGGACAACCAGACCATGGTGGACCGGACCATTCGAGCACGGCGGACCGGACCACCAGACCGGGAAGGACCGGACCACCAGACCACGGTGGACCGGGCCACCTGGGCCGTCTCACGGATAGACCACCGAGGAGGTCGACGCTCCGCTTAGTTCAGCTCAGGTCAGGTCAGGTCAGACTGACGGCGTCCGGTCGCCGGCTGACTAGCACATTCACAGACTCCCGGTATCGTATATCGCACGCGATGCCGCCGGCGCGGCGCACTCACCTAGTGTTCTTGTTGTGCCACTGAGTAGATGGCCACTACTCGAATGTGAGGATCCACCGACGCCGGCCAGCTTTATACCGTGCGGCCGGCGTCACGGCCGCGGGGGAGGGGCTGGCCCGGCCCGGTCCCGTGCTTGCAGCGCGAAGATCAGCCTCTGACCTTGCCTCCCGCGAGAGAAAGTACCGGGATGAGACGACTGGGCGCGCGCCGCGCGGCCGGCCGGCAGCCGCCGCCACCTGGTGACCACCCATGGCCTGCACGTGCGCGCCACCGCCGCCGCGCCGCGAGTCGGCGACGACGCGACGCTGCTGACGGAGGGCAGGGGCGGCCAACGAGCTGAGCGTGTGTGTAGAATTGCTGCGATCTTTGGCTGCGTACCTTGCGTCATTAAATAAATGGTCATGATTTTTTCACCATTTGTTCTTATATTTCACATACGAGTATGATAGGTATTTTACTGGTACGAATTACGATCAGACGCACAAGGAAATGGCAAAATTGAAAATACCAAACACTGCATCATTCGATGCCACAAGAAGCATAGCAGATCATTAGAGGAGATGCACAAGAGGAGCTCCACCGCGTTGCCTAATTATTGGTAGACTGACTTGCTGCAGGTTTCGTCGGCGCCGGGTTTCGTCCAGAGATTTTGTCAAAATGTAGGACTCTACGCATAACGACCTCTCGTCATTTGTCCACATCGTAGAATAAATGTTTGACCATTTTCAAGCCTGCCATGAGATGTGCTCTACTTCATGAAATATTAAAATATTCGCACGTGCGGGACAAAAATGAGATAAAAATAGTTGATGATCCTCCATTGCATGACACCCGATACTTGGTATTTGTTGCCATTTGTAAAAAGGTAATAATGTTAAGAAAATAAACCATTGCTCTCCTTGTTAGCATTTTTCCTCCTTTTTTCAAGATATTGAGTGACGCGGGTCTCAAAAAGTCAAAATGCACGCGGCTTGAGACATTTCATTTAATTAGGTTTTGACTAAATTTAGATCTTAGATATATTGTCCGTATTGTCCAGTGTAGTATCATTTTGTTCAGCGTGCATGTACGTTGTGCGGTGTAAATATGCATTTTTATACCTAGGCACCTCTTTGTAAAAATGCAACATTTCAGCCACCTGTGTGCTTCTAAAACGAGCAGTGTGGCTCGAAAAGAGGAACATTGACCTTTGCCATATCAGGAAGGGACATTTCCTGTTTGTAGATGGTAATTTCTCTAAAATTTCAAAACACGTGTTTACTCGACCGGGATACTCAATACCTACTCATGCAAAAAAGGTACGTAATCACTCAATCATCAATGCCTGAGTTAAGACCTAATTAAGACGCAATTGTGTTGACGTAAGATCCAAATACAAAATGTCGACAATTCCTATAACACGTTTTCATTTCAAGTGGCCCTCTGTCTAATGTAGCGGCTGCTGAATAATTTAATTTACTTTGGCCTTTGAGTTTCGGGTAAGGAATGGTCGCGGCTGATAGACTGTACGCGTATAGAGCCACCTCAGCGCGTTGGAATGTGTGTGTTACAGGGAGATGCGAGGCCGGCGTGGCCCGATCGGGGATGAAAACATCACGAGCGGCGTCCACGAGCAGCCGCAAACAGGGCGTGAGGACCGCTAGCCGGCTGAACAGTGAGCACTGAACAGCACCCGTGCCGAGGTCGCCAGCCGCGGTGTACGAGTATGTAGTTATATTGAGGTATCCGCAGAGCCAAGCAGGCTGCTCGGCCGCTGAGGGTGGAAGAGGACGGCCTCATCGTGCTATACCAGTGCCGTTATACGAATTTTGTGACCATTGCATGTTAGCAAGCATGCGATAATGCTCTCAACTGGGAGGGGATGATCTTGGAAGCTATGAAACGGCAACTCACGAAGTTTGATGGCAACCCACGGAGTTGATCTAATTATTCGAGTTTATTTTTATGTGCATTGTTAACAATACATACCTACCTAATCAATTTGTTGGCCAATCCAGTTTCTAAAAACGACCAGGTTCTGGCTGTTGCAGCAACTTCTGCAGCTGCAGCCGTTGTAAATACATTCAAGTCCCGTTTGCCTAGTGTTCTGTGAGTGTTGAAGAGATAAATCGCATGGTTTACGTGACGGTTATAATGCACATACATGCATGATTGCTTGCGTAACGTGTGTGCTAGCTTTCGGCGTGCGCAGCGTAGGACCTTTGATCATTGATGTGGTTTGCAACACTCCCTCATGGCCTATGCTTACCTCACGATGGTGACAATGTAGAAGACTTATCACTGTCAAAACGCATGATATTTGAATTTGACTGTCCTTGAGGACATTGGTCCTTGGGCACTGTCTGGCCCATACAAAATTAAAAAGGTGATAATGGGTGGGAATTCAACGTTAGTACTCAAAACGCTGCACGTCCCATAGTCGGGTATTTTGAGAAGTTAATTAATTGTAGGTGCTGCTTCTTGTACGCGTACTTCCCCACTGCATTAGTAAGAAGAGGCCAGTCGCCTACCTCCGTATTCCTCCAGCTCCCGTTCTGGTGCACACGCCCACGTCTGGGCGCTGTTCCGGTTCACTCGGGCCGGTTCGGTGGGGAACGGCCGACGATCGGGCCGATCCGCACTCAGCAGCGGGTCCATTGTGGAGATCGCAGCGTCACAGCGCTCTGGGAAACCCGCCTCGGAGTGGCTGTCACAGCAGAGGAAGCTAGCTTGATGGAGCGACCGGTAACAAAAACATTAGACTGGTCAACCTACCTACCTAGGTAGAGCATCCTTTTGACCAATGCAGTGGGGAAGCATGCAGCAGTGTGCGCTGTGCATGCCGGTACAGAGCGCATAGGTCGAGGGTTCAGGCGAAGCTCGGTTCGACTCCCTACTCGGATATTGCAGCAGACTGCACCGCATTATAGCTGCTGGTGAGCGCCCTGTTACCGCAACTGGTCTGACGAGCGGTGCCGGTTGACCCCTGAGCCGCCAGGTCACATTCAGGTCAATGAAGGCGCGCGGCGGCCGGCCGGCGTGAGAGCCCGGTGGAGGGGGCGGAAGGGCGCCTGTTAGCCCGAGGTGGCGTTACCCCACCGAGGTTACCCCATCCCGGCCGTACTGCGGGTGTAGAGCGACGCCAGCCCAATTACCGGCGATGGTTTAATCCCCGCCGCGCCACTGTGTTGCTGGCGGTATGTTTTGCACGTGCAGTCACGCGCGCGTCCGGAGCCCTTTGTTACTCTCACCTGTGTGGTGAGAGGAGAGCTGCTGCCGGAGAGCTGCCGCCTTTGGTCTGTATTCCCAGCGATTATTCCTGGGGCTTCTCAGAAATGGCCGGTCTAGGACACTCTCGTCAGACAGGAGCAGAGTCAGCCAAAATAACTCTCGTATGCTCTGAAATCTTCTAGTCTTGAAATCTTGAAATTATCTACATAGTCCGAACTTGATTATCTCATCAGATGCTAAGACCAAACCAATACTATCCTGGTGGCCTGTCGGGTCCGATCTTTATAAACAAGATCACAACATGCCTTCCCGTACTCTCCCTCCGCCGTTCTATACGTATTTCACAGGTCACAGAGGTCACTGAGCGAGCGAACTTCTTCCACCCCTCCCCACCACTGAATGGGACCGGTCGGAGGTCGGGGAGACGCGACGGGCGTTCATGGCCGATCGTCGGAGAGCGTTGACCCTGCGCTCGCCGGAGGCAAAGACGGATGCGTCAGTGCGTCTGACATGTTAATTCCACTGTGACGCTGGACGTGACAATACGTAGTTAGCGACAATGATCGGTCAGGCTTTGGGGTGTGGAGCGGGCGCCGATTGGTCGGCAGTGAAGTCGGGGTCAGTAGAGGGCACCGCGGGGTCAAGAGCAGTCACGGTCGTCAAGTCTAGACTCCCCTGCTTCCCCGTCCAGCGGTGATCCGCTCATGTATAGCCGCCGGCCCGGGAGGAGCGTTGGGCGTTGGGTGGCGGGTGGTGAGCGGCGGCCAGCGGGGGATAGCAGGCCTCTGACCCGGTGTGCAGGACCCCATCGCCCACCTCCCGTCTCGGAGCGGGCCACTGTTCTGCTGCATCCTGGTTCAACGGCTGCTGCCGCCGCGCCGGCCTTCCCGCCCGGTTCGGTGACGTGTTTCCCCGCCGGGGCGGTGGCCGCTGCCGGGCCCAGACGGCCGGCCGGTTAGCTAGCGCCGCTGATTGCTATTCAACGATGCACGGGAACCCCGCCGTCTGGTTTACACAGTGACACAACTGGAATTTAGGAACAAGCGCTGGGCATTTTGAATCAATCTTGTTGAGCCAAGTGAGAATCTTAAAAACGACATTACTCTACCCTTTCATTTAATGAATGAGGATTAGCTCTGTTTCGCCATCTTCCGCACCACTGAGGCAAATTTGTCACTATCACTGCCGGTAGTTCAGCTTTCCTCTCCTTTAGAAGCAGCCATATTGTTATCTTTATCTCCCTAAATTATATCCGCCCGGCGACCGTTCCACCGAATGTTTCCCATCGCCGCGGTTGCGCTGCAGTGGTAGGAATGCAGAGCTGCAGTGCGACGGTAAGCAGCGTGATTCCTCTCCAACCAGCGTCGCTGCAGCCAGTCTTGTCTAGACACCGTGCTCCAGGGCAACTATCGGTGACGTCATCGGTCGTATCCAAGTGTCCCGCTGCACCCGCCAGATCACGTGGCGCACACAATTTCGGCGCACCAGAGCCGGCGGTATGCCGCAAATCCGACAACTATGCGAAACTTAATGGTCATGTCGCTCAGTGGGCCCAATGGTATTTCGTAAACGCGGGAGGCTGAAGTGGCGCCCGGGCTTAAAGCCAGATCGTATGCCTGGAAGGCATGTGTTTCTTCCATCGGTGCCTTAGACGACAGACGGCGGGCAAGCCTTCTGTCGATGCCAAATCGATTATTGTGAGAGCCGGTATGCATCATTCATTATAAGGCGTCGCTTGTCATAGGCTCATTCACGTAGGTATTTGTGCACACCTATCTATTGTATTTCTATGCATCTGTTTATTTTTTATGTCTTAGATCAAAACTCTAAAAGCCGAATGCATTTTACAAACACAACCTTCCTTATTTTTTGCCTGATATTTTTGTCGGGTTAAGTTCCTGAAACGTGATTACGAAAACCAATTAATGTCATTGAACAACCAAGCTGTAACTATGAAGGGAGGCCATGATTGTGTCATAATTCTGACAATGCGATGAATGGGCAGGTGATATACCTACGTTTGTGCAGAGCCCTTCTTAATGAATAGCTTTTGTCCAGCTTAGTGCAGAACAGCCAAGTGATAGAGATGCCTGCTTCCACATCCTTTGTATTTGAATTTTATCAAGCATTGTAAGATTTAAACCCTCGGTCATGCATTGTTGTCAGAGCCTCACATTGTTGCTATTTTACACGTTATTTCGACGATAGCTAGCGAGCAGGTATGATCATTGATCATATCCCGGTACGTCGATGACACATATGACTATTGTCATTTCCCTAGTCTCCCCGTCGCCCTACACCATTTGACCTTTCAGTCCACAGCGCCGCGTCACCGCCTCTTCTGACCGGTCTGACCACTGGTCTGCCGACGTTGAGCAGGATTGGCCTTTCCGGGGACATTTTTTCACACGCCGGATGGGGCTGCATCGGCCGCGGAGTGACGCTGGAAGACCTGTCCCTGCTCCCTACCACTCGGAGGAGCCGGCGCGCCAGACATCCGCGCACTCTGCGGTAGCGCATCCTCGTGCTTCCCGCTCGGCCAGGCGACATATGACGTCACGGCGGCCTTGCCCGGCCGGCGGCGCCCGCGGCGCGGGCTGAGATGGCGCAGCGCCGCCGCCGCCGCCTCATCTGGCTGGCACTGACCAGCACTGACGCCCACGCAAAGCTCGCGAACGTCTGACCGGACCGGGAGCTGATTAATCTCCTGATGTTGACCTGGTCACGTGACTGATGATGATCGGCTGAGACTGCAGACACGAAAATAAAGCATCCGCGTTTCAAAATGAATTCATCGGCTCTGTGATGATATCGGTATAAACAGGAAGTGAGAAGAAAAGGGAAACGAACAAACTGGTGCAACCTAGCACGGAGTCGGTCCTGACCTAACCCCTTGATCTTATCAGATACAAGTAGCCAATTCACACGAGTGAACTGGTAGAGAGCAACGCAGAAGCACTGTGTAATCAAGTTAACAATCCAAGCTACCACGACAGCATAAGAACATGCACGTTGAAGCTTCATGCTCGGTATGGCTCACCATCCCATGCCTATGTATGTAAGTATATATGGGTAGAACGTGATCTGAGCTGGAGACTGCACTTCATCACAAGGCACTACTGTTAACGCCAGACCCCTTGAGACCCTAATTTTTCGCGATTATTTTAAAATGCGTGGAATAATTTCAACCATATTTAGGAAATAGCTGTTTCAAGACCTGCCGAAACTTTTTCTTTAAATACGTTTTGTTGTCACTTAAATATTTGTGGCACTTGTCATTGACTCGTAATGTTAACTGTTTTTCCATCCTGGATAGAGGCTTTCATACGTCATATGGCATAAGCTCCGCCCACGACTGCGGCATTGACCCGTGCCCATCAGCGACCTCTGTACAAACGACACCCCTGCCATCTGTAAAGGACTATGAATTTCGCTGACGCTTCACGTGCATTTGACGTGAAGCGTCAAATGCACGTGATCAATTGCAAATATCAATTGCAGCAGACGGTCAAGTAAATGTTAGGCTCTTGTTGACTCTTGTATATAGGACCAAGAGGACCATCACTCCTCAACCTACCACTCACACATGCTTCGAACAAACGTTAAATATTCCTAACAAATACGATTTTCGATGTAGGATATATGTTTGAAATACGACCCAGCCTTATGATGTGAAGCGAAGGCAATTAACTAATTATTGCGCTGTTCGATGGTTGCATATCGATGTACAAATCAGCAACTACTTGATGACATCCGACATCCCAGTATCACATTATCTGCAACGCCATAGGCTTTAAATACGGGTGAATATTTCCTAACCTTATGTCAGGTATATGCCATCTGCCCGTCATTTGCAGCTTATGAAAAATAAAACAAATATCAGCGAACCTATCAGCATTGTACTAGCAATGCGCATTGAGCATTTATGGCTCCTCAGTCATCATGTCGCTCTTTGGGCACTGTCAGCCAAGACGCTACGCACAACGCCGCCGGCTTTCGGCACCGCTCGACCGTCCCCGCTCCCCGCCACAGCGCGAGTGACCGCGCGCCGGCCCGAAACCGCCGCAGGCCAAGACCACAGAGGCGGGGCTTAGCTGTGACGTCATAACGTATCACAGACTGACTGGTGATAGCCTCTACACACCGGGTGAAAATCTTGCTCGAAATCTAACATTACGAGTCAATGAGAAGTGCCTGAAATATTGAAATGGCGACAAAATATCTAAATTGTAAAAGTTTCGGCAGGTCTTGAACCGGCCATGTCCTGAGCTTGGTTGAAATTCTTCCGCGCATTTAAAAATAATTGCGAAAAATTAGGGTCTCAAGGGGTCTGGCGTTAACAGTAGTTGAAGACTGCAGCAAAAGAACAAGACAGCATCACCACGCCTGCCGTAAAGCACGAGCTACCAGACGGGGATGTGTTATTTGAGGTCAGTCGCCGGCACCAGCGCAGCGTAACCACACGGCACCAATCATTGGTGGCCTGTTATACCACCTTGGGTTCCTCTCCCAGGGTCGGGCCACACCGCGTGCCACAGCGGCCAGCCCCGCTGCGGCCGAGCTGCGGCTGAGCTGCGGCTGCTGCGGTGGAGGCTTCGTGCCGCCGGGTCCGCGGCCTGGGGCGACCGAGACCGCTGCGAGTCAGCTACAACCTCGGCTAGCGCGCAGCTCAGGCATCTACAGACCTGCTCAGGAGTCTGCAGTCTTGCTCAGGAGTCTGTAGACTTGTTTACGAGTCTGCAGCCTTGCTGTGTGGACTCAGCTCCACAGCCTACGAGAGACTCCTCGACGCCGTAGGGGACAGGAAAAGTGAACGCTATCGATGGACATCGTATCGAAAGGAACAGTGTCGTCAGATGTGTCGAGAGTGAGGCGCATTCCACCAGAGACGGGCAGATAGTGGGACGCTCGTGCCACATATGTCATATCTCTGGACGGCCTTTGTTCGAATTCCGCTCACGACCCAGGACTGTGCGCAGAGAGACGGTCGCCGGCCCGTCTTCAGAACAATTCGGTCGGAATGCGTATCGGTTTGAGACTGATGGACACTCGTGGGTACGCATTAGAATGGTATCTCAAGCTGACAAACTCTATACGCAGTCGGCAGTGGGTGACAGCGCCCTAGCCGTAGCTTGTAATGTTTCCACGCATTTCTATATGGAAGTTATATGCTTGCAAATGCATACCTTTTCAAAGCACATGTAGAATTGCGGAAGCTGAAAGATATGAATTTCTTAAGCCACGGTAAACGGCTACAGAGTTTTCACATGTTCCTGCGAATCACAAAGATGTCCAAATCTTTTCGTTCTTATCGGTCACGAAAATCA